TTTCTATTCATGTGGGTATAACAATGCCTTAAATGGACAACACAATGCTTCGAAATAAGTAGATCCCTCTGAATTTAATGGTTTATTTGTAAGGTCCAGTGTCAGGGCAAAATAATTATTGCCTGTTACTATAATGGTAGTTTACTGCTATATGAACTGACGTCCAAAAGAAACTTTACGAGAGTTTGAAATCACTCTTGCTCAAAAACAACAAAATATACATGCATGAAGTAAAGTGTAATGAGAAGATCAATATATCAACATAATCAACACTGAAAATGACAATCATACCGCGACCGAGAATGACGTCAGAGCCCTCCAAAGTTGGGTGTGGTACAAAACTCAAGCTTTCAGAATCATGGACAATAGGCAGAGTACATAAACAATCGCTCACGTTCAATAACAAGTCATTAGTAGCGTGTTTGACCACCAAATGCCTCAATACACGCAAAAACTCTTCGACGCACAGAGGTCACGTGGGATTTGGCGCCATTCTTCTTGGAGGGCCAAGATCAGTTCTTGCCGGTTCACTGGAGAGTGTATTCGTTGTCGAACACGACGATCCATCAAGTCCCAGAGGTGTTCTTTGGGGGACATGTCGGGTGAGCGTGCAGGCCACGGCAGGGCGTTGACGTTGTTGGCTGCGAGGAAGTTCGTGACAATTCTGGCTGTGTGGGCTCTATCGTTGTCATGCTGATAAATGACACCAGGTGGCTGCTGTTGGAGAAATGGTAGGACTACTGGACGAAGAATGTTATCCATGTAACGCTGAGCTGTCAAGTTTCAGTCAACGATGACCAGCGGTGTACTCTCCTGTCCACAGATCCCTCCCCACACCATGACACTCCCTCCACCATATGGTACGACCTCCTGCACGCAACACGCCGCCGTTCGTAAACACGTTGTCTTCCATCAGCCCTAAACATACAGAATCGACTTTCGTCAGTGAAGACAACCCTCTGCCAGTCACGTCGTTGCCAACGTCGACGATGTTGCGCTGTCAATAGCTGTCCTCTGTATGGTCTAAAAGCCCTGAGTCTCCTGGCCACTGTCTGTCGACTAACCCTGTAACCTAAGGCATTTGTCGCCGATGACGTCACTGTCAGGAAGCGATTTCGGAGGTGCAAGGTACGCAAGTACCGGTCATCATGGGGCGTGGTCACCCTGGGTCTGCCTGTTCTTGGCCTGTCAGCGATCCGCCCTGTCTGTCTGTAACGTTGCATCAAGTTGGTAACGGCAACACGGGAAGGTTCGTGCAATATGGGCGTGGGTGGCTCCCATCTGTACCATACCCAAGCCTGTTGATCGACTGTGAGTCGTGGCATTTCTTTTGTGTTTTTTTATCACTATGGATGTCTGACTTGCCGTTGCAATCGTTTTATACCCTTACCCGCACGTGCATTTGCAGTTGTTCGTGGTGCACGTGTTTTTCACTTTTTCGCGTGTTATCTCGCAAACACGTAACAGACGATTAGCATTTTCTGCATACACTATTGTTGTATTTAGGTTATGTGTTTTAGATAGATTTCATCGGTAAACTTTTTATACTTTGTCTGAAATTTATATTTTCAGTTGGTAAAGTTTGTTTTGAACGTCAGTTTATATACATGGCTTCTTTATCTGAATAACTTTACAGTTACTAAGATAGCAATTTGTGTCTGTTTCCAAATGCAGTCTTTTTATAGAAATTATTACGTTATGTCAAGGGGAACGTTTGGGCTGAGTTATCTGCCCTTTGATTCAAACTGATCTGTAGAATGACCCATTACCTTTTTCTTTATTTTATTGGAGATTTAACGTGCGCTTTCCGCCTGCACACGGAAGACCCAGTATGGATCTCTTCGTATTTATAGGTGTGAGAAAATGGTCACATGTCTGTTTTTGACGAATCAGATTACGAGAAATAAAGTCTCTTTAAGTCCTTATTCCTTTGAGGGATCTACTTTCAAAACGTAAAATCACTGAAATAAGGGGGAAGGCAAACCATCTCAGAAGGTAATTTGGTATAAAAATTAGTATTTATACCAATCAATTAATTATGTCTAATTGATTCACTAATTGCCTTTCAATATCACAAGATAAACAATTACCTCCTGCTAGGTCGAAGCTACGTCCTTGCTGCCTGCCAAGATGGCGTAATATTAAGCAACATCGACTGTGAATTACGATTGAGGAAGAGGAAGAGGAAGAGTTCAAATGTCAGGAGGCAATTGTAATTTATCTGATACATAAGTCGCTTGATAACACGCAGTGGCCACTGGCATGCTTTGACAGATGTCATATTTATGAGAGACATGTTCTTAAATAGTCACGCTTAATATTGCACATGAATACATCAACGAAGATTACATAGTTCCTGGTGTCAGAATTAACAGTAACTTTAATACACGTCTTGATTATTTAATCAAATACGATTCTGGGTTCCCCTGGACATAGTTCATTAGATTAAATTTACTTTATAATGCAAAATGCTAAGTTTTAGCCAAATTCAATAACTTCATTGCGACCTAAGCTAGCTGTCACAAAGTTAAAATAGCAGGCGTGGGCGAAACACGTACGTAGTTCAGCCCTGATCACAAATTCACACAAATATGGATAAATATCGAGCTGCCAAGGGATTGTGTTAATCTGTTTGTTGAAGAACGAAAGGTATGATTAATCTGTATCTGATGGATAATTTCATTTTCTTCGTCACAATATTGCTGGAATACTGCGAAAAGTGGCATAAACCATACACACTCACTCACTCACTCACAGCTAAAGAGACTTAGGAGACTTAACAGTATAAGCTTATTGCTTAGGAGACTAAAACAGTATAAGCTTATTGCTTAGGAGGCTAAACAGTATAAGCTTATTGGTCAGGAGACTTAACAGTAAAAGCCGAACTAATATAATCAATAACAATGATCACTAATCATGATACAAGCGATGCAACCATTTCCCCAGCAACAATGCACTGCATGAGTTTGTTCTGAAGAAAGGTGTATACATATGACAAGGATGGTGCACAGGAACCAGAACGTATCAAACCGGCTAGGTGCCACAAAGAAGAGCTCTGCATTTAATAGTTTCTGGCAGTGATAAAAACATGAAGAGCCAGTCATATACTCTGCCCCGTCAACTTGATTAATTGTCCATATTTTGTAGGACTGCTCATGAGCCACCCACAGTTGTTACATGAGGAATCCGGGGGCACGGGTGGCCCAGTCGTCTAAGGCGCCGCGATTTGCTGTGCAGAGTTGCGTCCCGTGGACACGCCAGAAACCTTTGATTGTGGGTTCGAATCCCGGTTCGACCCGATTATGTTTCTAGGTTTGTCAGCACCATACCCGTGCTCGTGGGTTTCACCGAAGTGATAAACGTCTGAGACCTGCATCACTTCGGGTTTTCCTCCTACATTAAGCTGACACGCCGCGATATAACTGGAATACTGTTAAAAGCGGCATTAAACACAACTCTCTCTCTCTCTCTACATGATGAATCCATCTTATAAACACACAAGATCATATGGATACCAATGTGAAAGAACTGACTGCAAAAGTAAATGACATTATCATTCCGTTTCTAAAGGTCAAACATAGGACACGTGGAAAGAATGGGGTGATCCGAAAGAATGACACGCCCAATCCACACTTGCGTCCTCGTGTTGATCATCAGTATCAACTACAGATAAATAACAAGTCCACCGAAATAGAATCTTTTGGGCGTAAAAAGCAAAATAGCGTGAAAATAATATGAATGGATCACTGAAAATCAATGATTTTTGACACCAAGTGTTAGCAACGAGCGGAAGCATGTCCTGCCCTACCGGTAACACCGCTCACACAACTTGTGTATTAAAGTGTATCTTTGTTGCTCGACACCGTACAGCAGTACTCCTGTCATGCCACGGGACGTACACGGGAAAAGAAACTTTTAATTTCGTGAAAGAAAGATAAATTGAAAGAAAAACTTTTAGTCGTTAAAAGAATGTTTGACAACCGAGATTTGTTTGTTTAATGTATTTTGGTTCTTACAAATTTTCTATATTATACAATCACGTCCATCTTTCACCTACCTGGTTATAATGTGATGTTTTTTCCCATGTACAAACGGCGTCCCCATCGCAGATCCTTTCCATTTACAATGCTACCATTTCGATTGATTTTGTAGATGTCATGTGGCTTATCAAACGGAATATACTCAGAAAAATTTACAACGGATACTTTTGATTCCCTGACGTGACTCCTAGACGACGTGGTTACAGGGGAAACGATATTGTGAATATACTGACACTCGGGCAAAGTGACAAGGAATTTCATGTCAAAATTATTCTGTTTGTCTAATGTTGTTCAATGAATAAATGACATGAATGAAACTTGCCGTTGCACGTTTCGCAGTTTGAAGATACTTTTCTTGATCATTTTTTATGTCAAAACTAACGTTATCTAACAAATGGTATATCTGGGATAACACTTCGATGGGACTCAGCCCAAAAAAGTACTAGAATCTGTACTTTAGTAACAAAGTGTTATCCCGAATAACGTCACGTAAATCGCCTAAATTGTGCGTCATAGTAAAATTAGAACCCTTTAAACTTCAATATATATATATTACCTGTAACATTGGGCATAAAAAACGCAAAAGGAAGCATAGAGTCGGTTAAACACATTGTAATTAGTCGGCAGCAGGGGAAGATAACTCTTGTGTGTTTTGCTGTAAAGCGCACGCATGCAATAACTGCTGTGTGGGTGAGCGAGTGGGTATGTTGTTTCCCTGCCTTAGATACTCTTCTAGCAATATCACGACAGTGACCAGCAGAAATGGCCTTCAAACATTATACCCATGTGGGAATAAAACCCGGTGTTCGGTGTAACTCTCGAACATGTCAAGCGCTTGGCTGTCACACCACCTCTGGGGTTGTATAAATGGATCCTATAATTTCATTACCTAAATCAAGTAGTAAACAAATCAGGACACAAACGTGAAAATGAACATAAACAAAAACGAGAACAAATACAAACTAACATTTGCCTTTATTCATGACTGAAATGCACAAGTTCATTTTTATATCACGGTTAGGGCGGCGTCACCTGCAAAAGAAATTATCCATATTACAATTGTAAATATTTAACTGAACATGTTACGTTGTCTGATGAATGAATGAATGAGTGTGTGTGTGTGTGTGTGTGTGTGTGGGTGTGGGTGTGGTAGATAAATAGAGAGAGAGTGACAGACATGTGGGTGTGGGTGTGGGTGTGGTAGATAAATAGAGAGAGAGTGACAGACATGTGGGTGTGGGTGTGGGTGTGGTAGATAAATAGAGAGAGAGTGACAGACATGTGGGTGTGGGTGTGGGTGTGGTAGATAAATAGAGAGAGAGTGACAGACATGTGGGTGTGGGTGTGGGTGTGGTAGATAAATAGAGAGAGAGTGACAGACATGTGGGTGTGGGTGTGGGTGTGGTAGATAAATTGAGAGAGAGTGACAGACAGACAGAAAGAAAGACAGTCAGAAAGTGGTGGCATGTAAGAATGAGTGTCTAGGAAGATACCTCCATATCAATAAGGGAAATGTAGCCAGCCATGTTTATAATACTTATATACAGTGTCAGTACAAAGTGCAGTTTCAGGGTCTCTTCTATTTGAGAATGCATTGACGTTATCATTTTTAAAAGTTTCGTTGAGCTGTGGTAAGAATGCCGGAGGAAGATACCAATATCAAATACGGAAATATAGTCATTCATAGCTATACTACTTTTACAATTTGTCCATGTATAGTGTAGTGTCAGAGCTCTATTCTATCCGGGGTTCGTTTGTTATTCCCCAAAACGTCAACAACTTACAATAAGAAAAGTATATTGCCCCAAAGGCCCCACGGCGGAGCTATGTTATCAGTGTTTACTTCAAGTCCTCATTACTTGTACTGGTAGTAGTACTTGTATACCTTGAAAACGTCATATATAACCACGCCATTATAGGTATGTCTCTATTCTAAGGTATGCTAAGTAAGACTTAATGTGCGTTTCGCAAGGGAAGGTATGTGCTACGTCAATAGCTGGACGTGTCCTCACTTGAAAGAAGATGTATCACAAACATGGACGAGTGTGTACGTCACGTTTTCAGTTGCAAGAGCGTATCAAAATTGCAGGTAATTTACTTTGGGAAGCCTATTTCGGTACGGAGATGACTAATAGCCAATCACGTATAACTCAGTATCTATCAACAAGGCCATGTTTGGATGCTATTCAGATCACAATGGATACGTTAAAGTTGTGTCGGAACTCTATATTACCAGAGTATCCTATGATGCAATGGGAAAATGGATATACTCCCCATTGCCGCCAAACTAAAAATAAAACGATCTGGAAATGTGACTTGGTCGTGGTGGACGCTTTAGTTTTCTTGTATTCTGAAATCAGGTAACACGTCTCTAGGCTGTCTAAACCAAAGACCTTCTATTCTCTGTCATATTTATGAAGCGAATAAATATTATACTAGCAAACTATGGAATCAATGGTTATTGCATCAGTTGCAGACATTAAGTGACAATGTAGTGCCAATCAGTGAAAAGAAAGATTATGCTACAGCTGCAGTAATACTAATTCAAGCAAGTTCCCGTTGATATCAATAGTTAATAGTCAATATGTATCTGATTCGATACATGTGTGATCATGGCTATATACCATACGCTACGTTCACACTGTTGTTTTTAATGTATTCTACAATCCCTAATCCCTAATCCCTAACTAACTGTTTGTATGCAGGTACTTATAAATATTCATCAGTTTGATGTATTACCATAATGACAATGTGAGTAACGAATACGTCAATACCAAAAACAATTGTATTTTTCTTAATTGTAATAGGAATCTTCAGAAAAAAGCTGGTTTTACGTGAAGTTTTTGGCATAGATATTTATTTCGTTTAGAAGATTCCTTTGTCTTTACAGATACTTCTCAAATAATATTTTAAATTCACATATTTCTGTCCCCTTGTGCTGACAGTGAAGCGATTCAACATGTAGAGAGAAAGTAAAATGTAAAAAGAAAACGTCATTGGACTGGTTGGTGAATGACATTGGAAATATTGAGAGGACAGTACTTGTTTTCGAATTGTGGATATGCTAATACTGAATCAACAAGACCGTCTTGTTACAACATCAAACTTCTTTGCACAAGTTTAGCAAAAAAGTAGTTATTAGTAGTAAGTAATTAGTAATTAGTGAGTAATTAGTTTGTACATGCTTACCTGTCCTCGCGTTACGTTCCCTCTCCTTCCTGGTCTGCGTCCTCGTCTACCCCCTCGCCTTCCTGGTCGACGTCCTCGTCTACCCCCTCGCCTTCCTGGTCGACGTCCTCCTCTACCCCCTCGTCTTCTCGGTCGACGTCCTCGTCTATCCCCTCGCCTTCCTGGACGGCGTCCTCGCCTTCCTCGTCTACCCCCTCGCCTTCCTGGTCGACGTCCTCGTCTACCCCCTCGCCTTCCTCTTCTGCCCCCTCGCCTTCCTGGACGGCGTCCTCGTCTACCCCCTCGCCTTCTTGGACGGCGACCTCGTCGATTGCTTGCTAAAATTGGCATTGCTCTTTTAAATCGCATTGAAGGTTCCCCAGAGCCGCTTCTAACAGACGCGGCTCTTCGCAATCGCTCGACTAGATTACCCCTCTGTCCCACCTGTCCATCTTCGTTTGTCTCTTCTCCATCAACAAAATGCAGATAGCATGCAATAACACTCACAAGAGCAAGCAGTGTTAGTGCGATCCTCATGTCTCAGATGCCACCTTTTTCTTCTACTGTAAAGAAGGTGTATTGGCGTGATTATGATTGGAACGAAGTTTAGCGTATTCTATATACCATTGTATTTTATGGTCCTTTATTAATTAATTGACTCGTTCGAGGACATGATCATATTGATACGTACTTAAATCCTGCCATAAATGGCAATCGTATATCCCTAGTATCAATTTTGTTAACAGATATACCATATTGTATGTTAATTAGAAGGTAATCAATTTCTGTGTACAGTGCATGCATACCGCATTGGTCAGTATCATGCATTGGTGATCAGAGCCAATAACATAGGTGTGAAATATTTTTTTGAAAATCTTATTTCACCAAACGGTGTGTATATATATTGATACTTTCAAGAGAGGATGGGGGTTCTGGTGGGTAAAAAATGAACATATGTATTGACGTGGGATGGTTAGTTGACAATTCCCAAACTAATATTGAACATTGAGGCCCTGGTGGAAGATATTGGTCCACGCTGTATTAAAATAGGTAGTTTCGTGAAGATTTGATATATGATCAAATGGATGCTACAAACTGCATCGTATCTAAAAACATATTGTTCGTTGGTTTTCGAGTTTTCTTAATAACTCTTGTAATAGTCCGGCATTGATTAAATTCTACTGCTGTGTTGACAGATCGTTTGACCTTATCAAATGATAAGTATTAATCTATCACCACTGTTTAATGTGAGTTTGCTATGTAAACCGATGCAGCTTTGAATGGGTGGCCATGAAGTTTACCATGTTTTTGATACTTGATAATGTTGCTCGTGAAAATGTGCACACCGCTTTCTCAACACTCTTTCAACGTCAGCACATCGATACTTAACCAGCGCAAAAGTAAACCATCTCTTTACTTGTTCATTGTTCAAAGCCTGGCAGTCATTTGTGTTATCATGTTTAGAATAGTTCCCCTTTAGTGCTCTCCTCATTTTATCGTCACAGGATGCTGTGGTCTACCTATTTCGGTCGTGCCTGATTTTATATGACAAATTGACAAACATTTAGTTTCATTTCACTCTTGTCTAACCCAAGGGTGTGTGGAACAAATCTGAAGGTTAAGATAAGGCATTACTGAAAAACTACACAACTCATACCTTAACCTAATAATTAAATAAGAAACATCCCAAAGGTCTTATTTTTTTATCAATATGACTTTGAGCAAAAAATACTTACATGGCTTTTGTATCTAGTGGTGTCAACAAAAAGCAATAATTATTCCGTAGTCATATTAATATACCTGTATATGCTTCTTAACATGACTGTTATATATTCATATATTCATATATAAAGAATGACTCTTTTCGCAATATTCATCAGTGGCATTGTTGAAGTAGTTGACGATACACTCTGTCAGGGAAAGTTAGGGACTGGAAAGCTTCCACCTTGTTATACAGCCTCGTGATCAAGTGTTATCACTTTGAATCACATTGAACTAAATGTGTCACAGATGAGCTGGTTTTACTCGTGTCTCCTGACTTGTGAAACTTAGGTGGGGTGGGGTGGGAGTATAATTCCTCTTGTTTTGCTTTTAACAGATTTACCCAAGAAAGCAGACTCATTAAGTGTGGGTCAAAGCGACAAGACACATGACCTGACAAATACACGAATATTGCCTCTTACTGGGGCCATGTTTGAAACATCACCATCAACTACTACTCCTCAGCGTCTATGGATATCACGGCCAGATATCTGATTGAAAGAACAGGTCTGTCATCTGCAGTAAGAGATCATGACTATCTGGACAAGACCTTTACATTATACTGGGGGGACATAGGCATGTAACAGCCTTGTGTTATGTAATTGTAGATGAAAAGAAATCTTCAATCCCCTCGTTTATCTGTTCTCACAAGTCACTGGATTAAGTGATAATATTTGTTGACTGAAAAGCTAACGTAAGGATATAGTAAGATTTCATGTTGAATTCCAATAAGTAAATCTTATTATAAATCGTTATTACAAATAAATACAGACCATCGTACAAAGGGGTCGGGGATCGAACCCACGACCTTCCGCTTTCCGGAAAGAGGCTCTATCCACTTGATCACGTAAGCGGTCAGAAGATATTGAAAGACGGTGCAAAGCCTGTGATACCTGTTGTAGGAGAAATCCAAAAGCCCAACTGTTAGTGATATGCACCAATCAGCACCCACGGACAGACTACCTATAGATACAACAGAACCACTACCAACTACATCAGATGGTAACCTATACATCCTTGCGGTTGTTGGTTACTTCACAAAGTGGGCAGAGACATGTCCAAATCCAGACCAGAAAGCAGAAACGGAAAGCAATAAACTGGTTTCTGATTCTTATGTGCAGTTATGGCATACCAGAATCACTCCAATCAGGGATGAAAGTTGGATTGGGCTGTGAGTCCTCAGTCAAACGGATTTTTGGAAAGCAAACAGATCGGGATGTAAAATTACCCTTCATTTTGTGTCCCAAAATGATGAGTGTCAACATAATGTAACTGAAGCTCCGATTTATTTTGGTTTGTTGTTTAACGCTGCACTCAGCAATATTCTAGCTATATGACGGCGGTCTAAATAATCGAGTCAGGACCAGACAATCCAGTGATTAATATCATGAGCATCGATCCACACAATTGGGATTGATGACATGCATCAACCAAGTCAGCGGGCCTGACCACCCAATCCCGTTAGTCGCCTTTTACGACAAGCATAGTCACCTTTTACAGCAAGCATGGGTTGCTGAAGAACTATTCTATCCCGGAATCTTTACGGGTCACTATCATTATAAGGACTAGTGGACTGAAACTGTCAGTTTCTACCCCTGCTATTGGGGATAAAAGGATCAGATACTATTGGGGATAAAGGGATCTGTTACTGTTGGAGATATAGGGTAGTGCCACAATTCGGGATAAAGGGTTCTTATGCTATCGGTGATAAAGGGTTCTTTCCGGGGGACTAAATGCCCCAGACTGCCATGATCTGCTTTGACAAGCTGTTTGTTGTATAAATGCTTACATATTGATCGATCTGTCACGTAATATAGTGCATTTAAGAATTGATTTTCACTTTGTGTGAATTCATTGGAGTATAAACTTTTATACAGTAAAGGACAAACTGAATGAACGTACGAGCATGATGTTTGAACGAATTATTAGAAAACTGTTAACTTGGTTTCCCAAAGTACAACGCCCCGACTGTCGTATAACGTGGACACATAATTATGAGTGGTGATATTGTCTACTGCTGAGTGCGGCGTTAAACAACCAACCAACCTACTACATGAGCAAGTGACAGTTTGATGTGTTAACCGATATACACAGTCAACTGTTTCTGCCAACTAGAAACAGCGTGGATCGCTAAAATACATTGATTTTATGTGCGCTTCGATTGATTAAACTGTTAATGAAGACTTGAGGTAGACTGCCACTTTACCGTTGATAGACAAGAATGTCACAGGGTTCAGGTTTGTTACGTCGTCACCTACAAAACATAAATGTACAGTTAAACATGTACACACATAGAGGAGGGGGAGAGGCAGAGAGAGGGGGAGAGAGAAATAGAGAGGATGGAGAGGAGATAGATAGACAGAAAGAGAGGGGGGACAGAGCAAGACACAGAGGGAGAGAGATAGAGGGACAGAACGAGGGAGAGAGCGATATATAGAAGGAGAGAGGGGGAGGGAGATGGGGAGATGTGACCAAACAGTAAAGCATATATTTGTAGATACGAAGATAAGCTGTGGCGACAGGTATCAGAGAATCTTCGCTCGATATAACAGAGCAGAGTCAACAGCCATCTATTTCTACCTCGGATTCATGCTGTCATGTACACGTTCTTCTATGTTTGCCACCACAGAGGGATCCTTTACTTTAATAGTATCGTGTGTTGATACCTGGGGTGAGTGAGTGAGTAAGTGTTGTTTTAAGCCGCATCAGCAATATTCCAGCTATTCACGGCTAGAAAAACAAAATCAGTTTCCTTTAGAGAATATTATTTAAAAATGATGACGACGATCACTAAAACTTCAGTCCTTTATCACAGTAAATAGTAAAAACTGAAAATATAAAATCTACATGTTTTCATACAGTTTAACTTCTTTCAAATGGGCTAAAACTAAGTGGTTAGAAACGGTATTGAAAAGTTCAGAAATTGTTTGAACAGTTTATAAACGTTGACGAATAAGTGCAAACAAAAGGTGCTTCAATAAAAAGGAATGAGTCAAATGAATGTGTCCAATACTTCGACTTATAACTTCATACTGACTACATAATCAAGTAAGAGCGTGATTTCCAATCACGGTTGTGTGTCATGAAGCTTATTTAATACTTGCTTATTCCACCTTTGCTGCCACTACAACACTTAGACGCCATGTACGGCTGGTGGAACATAGATGCCTTGTACGGTTAGTGGTATATAGATGCCATGTACGGTTAGTGGTATAAAGATGCCATGTACGGTTAGTGGTATAAAGATGCCATGTACGGCTGGTGGAACATAGACGCCATGTACGGTTAGTGGTATAAAGATGCCATGTACGGTTAGTGGTATATAGACGCCATGTACGGTTAGTGGTATAAAGATGCCATGTAAGGTTAGTGGTATATAGACGCCATGTACGGTTAGTGGTATAAATATGCCATGTACGGTTAGTTGTATATAGATGCCATGTACGGTTAGTGGTATATAGATGCCATGTACGGTAAGTGGCATAAAGATGCCATGTACGGTTAGTGGTATAAAGATGCCATGTACGGTTAGTGGTATAAAGATGCCATGTACGGTTAGTGGTATATAGACGCCATGTACGGTTAGTGGTATAAATATGCCATGTACGGTTAGTTGTATATAGATGCCATGTACGGTTAGTGGTATATAGATGCCATGTACGGTAAGTGGTATAAAGATGCCATGTACGGTTAGTGGTATATAGACGCCATGTACGGTTAGTGGTATAAAGATGCCATGTACGGTTAGTGGTATATAGACGCCATGTACGGTTAGTGGTATAAATATGCCATGTACGGTTAGTTGTATATAGATGCCATGTACGGTTAGTGGTATAAAGATGCCATGTACGGTTAGTGGTATAAAGATGCCATGTACGGTTAGTGGTATATAGATGCCATGTACGGTTAGTGGTATAAAGATGCCATGTACGGTTAGTGGTATATAGACGCCATGTACGGTTAGTGGTATAAATATGCCATGTACGGTTAGTTGTATATAGATGCCATGTACGGTTAGTGGTATATAGATGCCATGTACGGTAAGTGGTATACCGAACCGATGCCATGTACGGTTAGTGGTATACAGATGCCATGTACGGTAAGTGGTATACAGATGCCATGTACGGTTAGTGGTATATAGATGTCATGTACGGTTAGTGCTATACAGATGCCATGTACGGTTAGTGGTATATAGATGCCATGTACGCTAATGGTATATGGACGCCATGTACGGTTAGTGGTATATAGATGCCATGTAGGGTTAGTGGTATACAGATGCCATGTACGGTTAGTGGTATATAGACGCCATGTACGGTTAGTGGTATACATATGCCATGTAGGGTTAGTGGTATATAGATGCCATGTAGGGTTAGTGGTATATAGATGCCATGTAGGGTTAGTGGTATATAGATGCCATGTACGGTTAGTGGTATATAGATGCCATGTACGGTTAATGGTATATAGATGCCATGTAGGGGTAGTGGTATATAGATGCCATGTAGGGTTAGTGGTATATAGATGCCATGTACGGTAAGTGGTATACAGATGCCATGTAGGGTTAGTGGTATACAGATGCCATTTACGGTTAGTGGTATATAGACGCCATGTACGGTTAGTGGTATATAGATGCCATGTACGGTTAGTGGTATGTAGATGCCATGTATGGTTAGTGGTATAAAGATACCATGTACGGTTGGTGGTATATAGATGCCATGTACGGTTAGTGGTATATAGATACCATGTAGGGTTAGTGGTATAAATATGCCATGTAGGGTTAGTGGTATACAGATGCCATGTACGGTTAGTGGTATACAGATGCCATGTACGGTTAGTGGTATATAGATGCCATGTACGGTTAGTGGTATGTAGATGCCATGTAGGGTTAGTGGTATATAGATGCCGTGTACGGTTAGTGGTATATAGACGCCATGTACGGTTAGTGGTATATAGATGCCATGTACGGTTAGTGGTATATAGACGCCATGTACGGTTAGTGGTATATAGATGCCATGTACGGTTAGTGGTATATAGATGCCATGTACGGTTAGTGGTATATAGTAGCCGTGTACCGTTAGTAGTATATAGACGCCATGTACGGTTAGTTGTATAAAGATGCCATGTACGGTTAGTGGTATATAGACGCCATGTACGGTTAGTGGTATATAGATGCCATGTACGGTTAGTGGCATACAGATGCCGTGTACGGTTAGTGGTATATAGATGCCATGTACGGTTAGTGGTATATAGACGCCATGTACGGTTAGTGGTATATAGATGCCGTGTACGGTTAGTGGTATATAGACGCCATGTACGGTTAGTGGTATATAGATGCCATGTACGGTTAGTGGTATATAGACGCCATGTACGGTTAGTGGTATATAGATGCCATGTACGGTTAGTGGTATACAGATGCCATGTACGGTTAGTGGTATATAGATGCCATGTACGGTTAGTGGTATATAGACGCCATGTACAGTTAGTGGTATATAGATGCCGTGTACGGTTAGTGGTATATAGATGCCATGTACGGTTAGTGGTATATAGATGCCATGTACGGTTAGTGGTATATAGACGCCATGTACGGTTAGTGGTATATAGACGCCATGTACGGTTAGAGGTATATAGATGCCATGTACGGTTAGTGGTATACAGATGTCATGTACGGTTAGTGGTATACAGATGCCATGTATGGTTAGTGGTATATAGATGCCATGTACGGTAAGTGGTATATAGATGCCATGTACGGTTAGTGGTATATAGATGCCATGCACGGTTAGTGGTATATAGATGCCATGTACGGTAAGTGGTATATAGATGTCATGTACGGTTACAGCTGTTTACGACCCGTGAAGATCCGGGTCAGAATAGGTCTTCAGCAACCCATGCTTGCCGTAAAAGGCGACTCTGCTTGTCGCAAGAGGCGACTGATGGGAGCGGGTGGTCAGACTCGCTGACTTGGCTGATCCATATCATCGTATCCAAATTGCCCTAAATAAAATCTTGAAACAAAATCGCGTAATTAACACATACTGGGTAGAATGAGTTATGTACTTTGCCATTACCTCTTATCACGACGTTGAAGACATACAATTTGCTAGATAGACCCTAATCGCTCATCCGTATTTAGAACCACGATCTGCTTTCCAAGCTTAATGCATCGTGACAATTCAACTCCCAATATCACATATACATGCCGTGGATGGCTTCAAATTCTTAAATCACGACTGACTGAATGGCATTTTCAGAGAGTATATATCGCTTTCTCTTGAAAGAATCTTGTACGTTACAACATCTCGAGAGATCCTATACACTGATATACATAATTTTTTATCACTTTTTGGTGAAACAACAGTCGGTTCGGAGGGTATTTTCATTAAGCATAATCCCTTATTTTTGTGAATGATCGGTCTCGTGCATCATTTCATCTGAGGCTGAGGCCTTAAATTCACCTTGGTATTTTCTTGTGTACAATGAAACCCGTGAAGATCCAGGGTAGAATAGGTCTTCAGCAACCAATGCTTACCGTTATGGGCGACTATGCTTGTCGTAAAAGGCGACTAACGGGATCGGGTGGTTAAGCTTGCTGACTTGGTTGATGCATTTCATCGTATCTCAATTGCCCGGATCGATGCACATGATGTCAACCACTGGATTGTCTTGTCCAGACTCGATTATTTACAGACCGCCGACATATAGCTGGAGTATTGCTGAGTGCGGTTGTGTATAATGAGCATTCATTTACTCAATGAGATCTGGTAACGAGGTAATGAAATGTGTCTGTTAACAGTCACGATGTATTATGTGTCGTGTAACAGCGGTAAATTGCTCTCAAAACTGATGATTAACATTGTTCCGTCATTAGTACACTTAATTTGTTATCAGCATCCTACAAACTGCTGCCTCTTACAATCCGATGTAGTTAGAAGACATGTGGACCAGTATACCATGTGTGCTCCTCATTCTTATGATTGCAGGTATGTTTGTCTTAAATTTTAACTCACTTATTTGATCGCGTTTGAAATGTTTTGTTTTGTTGTTTGTTGTTTAACGCCGCACTCAATATTTCAGCTATATGACGGCGGTCTGTAAATAATCGTGTCTGGACCAGACAATCCATAAGCATCGATCCACGCAATTGGATACGATGACATGCATCAACCAAGTCAGAGCGTCTGACCACCCGATCCCGACAGAATGATGAAGGGGTTTTCACGCTTGTGTGTTTGGGGATGGTGAATATCCTGTATTAGGAAGAAACACAACGAACTTGGCTCGCTAAATACAATGTTTATTCCTAATACAGGATATTTACCATCCCTAAACACACTCGCGTGATAACCTCTATCTAACACGTATACTCTGTACACACCCTGCTCACATTGAGTAGTTGTATTCATTTATTATTATCATGGACATTATGACTCTTATATTGTGGCCGTTATGGTTTTTGTTTGGTTTGTTGTTTTACGCCGCACTCAGCAATATTCCAGCTTTTTAGCGGCGGTCTGTAAATAATCGAGTCCGGACCAGACAATTCAGTGATTGATATCATGAACAACGATCCACGCAATTGGTATACAATGACATGCGTCAACCAAGTCAGCGAGCCTGTGACCGGATCCCGTTAGTCGACTTTTGCAACAAGCATAGTCGCCTTTTACGGCCGTTATGACTATATGGGTTTGTGGCCATTTTTAGTTTTTTAAGGCCGTTTGGACTACAACACCTTTGATGCACCTGTATAGTTGAACAACGTATTTAGCTTTGTACTATTCAACAGATGTGGCCTACACTACGACTTGCTACCGTAAGGTGGAGTCGTTGACAATAACACTGTTCTGCAGCTATGGATGCTGCAGCGAAGAGGGGACAACTGTATGCTGTGATCGAGCTGCGTAAGTACGGCATATCGAAGTATATTTTGTATACACATGTTGCATGTGCTTTAAAGGTGTCAGCCTTCAATTTCAGTTGGCATTACCACTGAAGATCCGGGGTAGAATAGGTCTTCAGCAACCCATGCTTGCCGTAAAGGGCGACTATGCTTGCCGTAAGAGGCGACACACGGGATCGGGTGGACAGGCTCGCTGACTTGGTTGATGCATGTCAACGACCCCAAGTACGAGGATCGATGCTCATGATATTAATCACTGGGTCGTCTGGTCCATACTCGATCATTTACAGACCGCCACATAGCTGGAATGTTGCTTAGTGTGGCGTTACACAACAAGCAGACAAACAAACAAACAAACCAAAAATATTGACATACGGAGGTAATTTAATGAAAATGTAAATATACTGAACAACAAAAGTTCCTGTGACATTGAATAAGATTTAATGCAAAGTTATGTTTTTTACCAAATCTGAAACAATTTCGGTTTTCAACAGATAAAAGACTCCTGTAAGTGTTCATATGGTTTAATTTGCCATACTGACGTCAGAAAATGCGAGATTTCATATAAAAAAACATGAATATGCCAAAATGTCAATTTACAAATCAATAGCGTGTGTGTCCACCTCTGGTTGCGATGCAAGAAACACATCTTCGTCTCATGGAATGGACCAGGCGTCGCACAAAGTCCTGTGCGATATCTGTCCATATCTGCTGGAGCATGTTTCGAAGTTCCTGGAGTGTCTGTGGAACACGTGGTTGACGTCGAAGGCGTCGATCCATCTCATCCCATATTCGCTCGATTGATGAGAGATCAGGGGAGCGAGTCGACCAAGGGATGACATTCACGTTGTTTTGTTGAAGAGAGTCCTGAAGAAGTCGAGCAATTTGAGGCCAGGCGTTGTCATGTTGAAAGGTAATGCCTGGGCCATGACGACGTAGAAACGGTGGAACAGGGCTGATGATCTCGTCGCGGTAGCGATGTCCATTGAGATTTCCCTCTACCACTATCAAACAGGTCCTCTGTCTTCCTGTAATCCAACCCCATACCATAACGCTGCCGCCCCCGAACCCATCTTCTTCCATGACACAATGATTGACTTAACGTTCACCTCGACGTCGGTACACTCGAATTCGTCCATCGCTGTGGCTGAGGTGAGAACCAGACTCGTCAGTGAATAGAACTTGTCCCCACTGCACGGCTGTCCAGCGTAGACGCTGTCTGCGCCACTGTAAACGTGCTTGACGGTGGTTTCCTGTCAAAATTGGACGTCTGGTGGGTCTTCTGGCGACACTCCCTGCACATCTGAGGTGACGACGTACGGTTTGTGAAGATATTCGTCGAAGGCCAGGGATGCTTCTTGCAGTCACTGTTGCTGGCTGGAATCGATTTCGTAGGTGTGTTGTTCGAATCCTGTTGTCTTGTCGATTATTGGTAACGCGTGGCCTGCCACTCAGAGGATGGTCTCTGACTGCATTCGCCTGTTGCCAATGTTGCCATCAACACCAAATGGTGTTTCTGTGAACGTTAAACTGTCTTGCAACATCACGTTGACTCGATCCTGCTTTAAGCATACCAATGGCTCGCGGACGCTCATTTTTGGACAGGCGTGGCATTTCGTAATATTGAATAATTGCGTAATTTTGTTGTTTTTCTTAGTGGTTGTTGTCAGCACGATGCTAAACAATGCATATAGAATCCCGTTAACGCACATGTTTTTATACCCATTCTTGGGTAGTGAAAAGCACGGGGCTTGCATAAAAGCCAGCTTTTGCATGGAATGCATGCTTTTCTGTAGCAGTTGCGTTTTTGTGACTTGATTCCATACAGGTACTACAATATTGAAAAACAAACTTTACTCGTTTGAAAATACACACAAATATTGGTGTCACAGGAACTTTTGTTGTTGAGTATAGTTGTGCCAAATTCAATGTTGTCGTGACATAAACCAAACATTATCCATGGGCCATTTGGAGTGAACACTTGGTTAGAATCAGTCTTGACGCTATGGTTTACAACTGTGTATCAATAATCAGTGGTTGATGTTACATTTCATATAGTCAAAGGTACTATAAAATTAAGCTGTTGCTCAATTACAAGTTTTCAGTAGCATTTTCCACACTTGATGATGTATAAAGTTACTCTTCTGTATCGACACGGCAGTCACACACTGACGTGCCGATGACTTTTCATCACAGAATATTCCAGCCTCTACCCACGCATGTTTTTTTCAATAATAGTCCTGCCTCTTCCCACGCATGTTGTTTCCAATAATAGCCCAGCCTCTTCCCACGCATGTTTTTTTTCTAATTATAGTCCAGCCTCTTCCCACGCATGTTTTTTTCCAATTATTGTCCAGCCTCTTCCCACGCATGTTTTTCCAATAATAGTCCAGCCTCTTCCCACGCATGTTTTTTTCAATAATAGTCCAGCCTCTTCCCACGCATGTTTATTTTTCAATAATAGTCCAGCCTCTTCCCACGCATGTTTTTTCAATAATAGTCCAGCCTCTTCCCACGCATTTTTTTTTTCAATAATAGTCCAGCCTCTTCCAACGCATGTTTTTTTTCAATAGTCCAGCCTCTTCCCACGAATGTTTTTTTTCAATAATAGTCCAGCCTCTTCCCACGCATGTTTTTTCCAATAATACTCCAGCCTCTTCCAACGCATGTTTTTTTCTAATTATAGTCCAGCCTCTTCCGCGCATGTTTTTTTCTCTAATTATAGTCCAGCCTCTTCCAACGAATTTTTTTTCTTCTAATAATAGTCCAGCCTCTACTCAAGCATGTTTTTCCAATAATAGTCAAGCCTCTTCCCACGCATGTTTTGCCAATAATAGTCCAGCCTCTTCCCGCGCATGTTTTTTTCAATAATAGTCCAGCCTTTTTCCACGCATGTTTTTTTCCAATAATAGTCCAGCCTCTTCCACTCCTCGGAATTGCCCAGCACGAATACATACAGAAGCTTTCTTTCTGATCATTTATTCTCTTTAATCTTGAACTCAGCGTTTAAGTATGCATTGAGAAACGTCAGAGGGTTTGACTGCATGTGAAAAGTGCACAACCAAACTATCGTAGTATCGACTCGATCCGTGTCTAGGCTGACAGTGACAGTCTACAGCAATCTGTGATTTTACCTAAGTGTCTATATGGGGCATCTTTAATCACTTTTCAATGATCGGCCAGTTGATCAAAGATGACTTAAACATGTAGCCGCCACGGGTTCAAAAACAACTTCCTAAATCACTCCCGTCACGTTTATCGTGTTGGCCATTTTGACGTCTTGAACTTGATGTAAATGTATGACGCGCTGTCATTGTGATTGACTTACAGAAGTAGTTCTTAACAGACCTTTTTTGCATCTAATGGTGATGTTATTTGAAGACATGTGTTGTGAAAGATGTTTCTGAAGAGCAAGTTCTGCTTACATACGCTCATGTCACCTCTCCTTATGAGGGACTGTTATATTCCGCGATACAGCTAGTTGTTGTATGGCTGTCAGTGTAAACATGAAGACACATTTTCTAAATAAAATTGGAGATCTAGGCCTACAACCTTTGATGTAAGAAATTGTGATAAAAAATTATAAGAATTATGAACCTTCATAGAGTGCGGGCCAAGCTGTATGAACGTCGGAGCTTGCGTCGTCTTCCAATGAACTCACACAAAGTGAAAGTCAATTCTCAAGTGACAACGGCAGTATTTCAGCCATATCGTGACTACAAGGTTAAACTGTGCGCAAGTGCACAATACCCGTGAAGATCCGGGGTAGAATGGGTCTTCAGCAACCCATGCTTGACTTAAGAGGCGATTATACTTGTCCTAAGAGGTGACTAACGGGATCGGGTGGTCAGGCTCGCTGACTTGGTTGATGCATGTCATCGATCCCAATTTCGTGGATCGATGCATATGATATATTTATCACTGGATTGTCTGGTCCAGACTCGATTATTTACAGACCGCCGTCATATAGCTGGGATATTGCTGAGAGCGGCTTTAAACAACAAGCCAACCAACCAACCAACAACCAGTGCACAAATCAGTCGTTGCCATGGCTAAAATCCAAGAATGTGGCTTTGGGAGCAAGACATTAAGGCAAGCAGTAGACACCCAATGGCCACCACTTGTGGTCCCGTTCTTCCTCATCGGTTTCTTTGTTCACAAGAGTCGGAATTTCTGCTCGGATTGGCAGTTAAAACAAGGGAATTTGGCCAGGAAGTTCAAGCTTCTGGTGTATCGACGGTCTGATATCGTTCGATAACTGTCAAATAGCCCAGGCGACAGGTTGGACCGCCTCGTCCGTTTCATGTTTAGATTAATAATGACAAAAACCTCCCAACCAGAGGGATAAATCAACATTCCCTTTATGCTTAGCATTATCCCAGCACCTCCGGCCTTTGGAACCTACATTTCACAACTTTTAAGGTATGATCGAGCATGCTCTTTCTCCCAAGATTTCAAAGAGCATCATACAACTCTTGTTCAAACGGTACAACATTCAAGGCTTCGGTAAAGCTTTCAAACACTTTTATGATAGATGTGGAGGACATTTCCAAATTGGACGCATCCGTGACAAAGGTGATGTCTTGCCTGTGCATGCGTTTGTGATGATTGGATTCAGGGCCTTTTCGCGAACACCTAGTATTTCATAGTGATTCATCATGCTCTCGAACGATGACGTCATGGCAGCTCAAGAGAACTTTTAGGACAGACAAGAGCAGTTCTACAAAACTAGGATAAAATCCCTCTAAGATAGTTGGCAAAAATGTATCAATGTGGATGGAGATTATGTTGAATAAGCTATGATTTAATGTCTTTAGGTCAATCCTTTCTATATGTGAGGCCCAGAACGTCTCCATCTTATGTTTTGTCATTGTTTCAACAGAGTGACTCCTGCAGGGTAACACCCAGCAGTGTATTGTCACGTCAAGTTTACATAATAACATTTACATCACGATGTCATTTGGTATGATATTGTCACGTCAAGTTTACATAATACAATTTACAACACGATGTCATGTGGTATGATATTGTCACGTCAAGTTTACATAATAACATTTACATCACGATGTCATGTGGTATTATATTGTCACGTCAAGTTTACATAATAACATTTACATCACGATGTCATGTGGTATGATATTGTCACGTCAAGTTTACATAATAACATTTACGTCGAGATGTCATGTGGTATGATATTGTCACGTCAAGTTTACATAATAACATTTACGTCACGATGTCATGTGGTATGATATTGTCACGTCAAGTTTACATAATAACATTTACATCACGATGTCATGTGGTATGATATTGTCACGTCAAGTTTACATAATAACATTTACATCACGATGTCATGTGGTATGATATTGTCACGTCAAGTTTACATAACATTTACATCACGATGTCATGTGGTATGATATTGTCACGTCAAGTTTACGTAATACAATTTACATCACGATGTTATGTGGTATGATATTGTCACGTCAAGTTTACATAATACAATTTACATCAAGATGACATGTGGTATGATATTGTCACGTCAAGTTTACATAATACAATTTACATCACGATGTTATGTGGTATGATATTGTCACGTCAAGTTTACATAATACAATTTACATCACGATGTCATGTGGTATGATATTGTCACGTCAAGTTTACATAATACAATTCACATCACGATGTCATGTGGTATGATATTGTCACACCATGCTTGCCGTTAAAGGCGACTATGCTTGTCGTAAGAGGCGGCTAATGGGATCGGGTGGTCAGGCTCTCTGACTTGGTTAATGCATGTTATTGATCCCAATTGCGTGGATCGATGCTCATGATATCAATCACTGGATTATCTGGTCGAGACTTATTTACAGACCGCCGTCCTATAGCTGGAACATTGCCGAGTGCGGCGTTAAACAACAAACAAACAAACAAACCAATTATATTATAAAAACCTCCTTCCCTCTTGTCATACTGCCTTGTGGAGAGTGTTTTCACTCTGGATCAAGGCAGTAACACTATCAGGTCTGCATTCACCGCTATTATACAGAAGGTGTACTAATCTACTCTTCATAATGTACATATTAATTACAGAGGCAACTCGGTGTCACTATTCAGTAATGCTCGCTCTGCCGCCGCTGTAGCTGGGATGATCGTCGCCATGATTTTCACCGTCTGCATCATTATCGCAGTGGTTTGTTGTGTCAAGAAGACAGGATTTGCAGGCAGAATTGGAACTCATACCAACGTCTCCGTTGTTAACGCAAGTAAGGTCATGCGGGTAGGAACTGGTCTTCAGCAAACCAATGCTCGTCATACGAGGCAACTAACGGGATCCCGTTAGTCCCGTTTATCCAGTTAGTCGCCTCTTACGACAAGCATAGTCACGTTTTACGTCAAGCATGGTTGGTTGATTGGTTGGTTGTTTTACGCCGCACTCAGCAATATTCCAGCTATATGACGGCGGTCTGTAAATAATCGAGTCTGGACCAGACCATCCAGTGATTTATATCATGAACATCGATCCACGCAATTGGAATCGATGACATGCATCAACCAAGTCAGCGAGCCTGACCACCCGATCCCGTTAGTCGCCTTTTACGACAAGCATAGTCACCTTTTACGGCAAGCATGGATTGCTGAAGACCTATTCTACCCCGGAATCTTCACGGGTCTATATTATATTAATAATGTTCGGCTTACTTTGTAAATAATCGCCCACACCTGAAGGGATTATGTAAATCCTGCTGAGGTCCACGCAGATGGTGATCTCCTTTAGATGTTGGCGGTCTATAGCCTGTTTTTTATCATGTATATTTTTATTTTTATATTTTATGGTTACACACTAGTTTTAAATACAATCTGTGATAGTCTTATTATTTCACTGCCCTTAGTGACAGGATTTTTAAAGTTAATTGAACTATTATTAGTGTACAACCTTTTATTGTCACGATGTTGCTGAAATACTGTCGATGTGACTCAACATTTTGACGCACTGACTCTTTTTCTTCAGCCATACCAAGTGCATATCCATCCGTGGCCTACACGAATTCTCAGTCCACCATGGTGACCAGCGGCCCCGTCTTCCAGGGGTACCCGTCTCCAAGCGTGTACAAAAACACTTTTAATGCCAGGCCGCAATGTGTAACTGCAATCGCTTCACTTTCCTGAAACGGATTCGCATGTATATTGCTTACTTATATAATTTGTCATTAAAGGTATGTTCCTAACTAAAACGATATGCTTGTCGTTTTTCTTTCACATTTGGTCAAAACATGTGTATTATGTTCAGTTTATTGGATTCGAACCAGTGATCAATGAATGACTAAAGTTGATCAGCCATATCGTGACTAGAACATTATAATTATACATACAATTATACTGATAAAAACCTGTCAGCGATGGACAGTATAATAGTTAGATTAGCACCATTAGAAGCATTCGTCTGAAAGTGAGGCCTGTGAAGAAAATGACCAAGAGAGTGATATTTATGACAGCATTGATTATCATGACAATGCAACACTTCAGTGCTATACTTTTTCTCGCGATGAAATTTCCTTGGTCGACTCTTAGCGTGAAGTGTCGGATAGAATAGGTCTTCAGCATCCCATGCTTGCCATAAAAGGTGACTAACGGGATCAGGTGGTCAGGCTCGCTGACTTGGTTGATGCAGGTCATCGATCCCAATTGCGTGGATCGATGCTCATGATATCAATCACTGGATTATCTGGTCCAGACTCGATTATTTTACAGACCGCCGTCGTATAGCTGGGATATTGCTGAGTGCGGCGTTAAACAACAAACCAACCAACCACATTGCGTGGATCGATGCTCATGACAATAATCACTGGATTGTCTGGTCCATACTCGATTATTTACAGACCGCCGTCATATAGCTGGAATTTTACTGAGTGCGGCGTTAAACAACAAACAAACCAAACCAAACCAACGACATGTCAGTCTCTGGTGAGGCTGAAAGTTTCAGAGACATACTTGCTGACTGGGTTGTGAGAAGTGGCATTCCACTGTGCCACACAAATAGTTTGTTGACCATATTGAGACCACACTTCCCAGAACTTTAGTTGGCACACCAACATCTTATGATGTTTGTGATGTTGCAGGGGGAAAATATTATCATTTTGGTATTAAATCTAATTTCAGTGTCGTCTTAGATAGCAGGAAAGAACTTGCTGCACTTGACACTTTGTCCTTCCAGGTAAATATTGATGGACTTCCTCTGTTCAAGAGCCCCAATGTTCAATTTTGGCCCATTCTTGGTCTGCTCAGAGAGGATAAAACAAACCAGCCATTTGTCACTGGCTTATGGGTTGGATCTTCCAAGCCAGCAGATTCAAATTTATATTTGCAGTCATTCATTGATGAAATGTTTGTTTGTTTGTTGTATAACGCCGCACTCGCCAATATCCCAAGCTATATGACGGCGGTCTGTAAATAATCGAATCTGGACCAGACAATCCAGTGATTGACATCATGAGCATCGACCCACGCAATTTGGGATCGATGGCATGTATCAACCAAATCAGCGAGCCTGACCACTAGATCCCATTAGTCCCCTTTTGCGACAAGCATAGTCGCCTTTTACGGCAAGTATGGGTTGCTGAAGACCTATTCACCCGGATCCTACGGAAGCCTTTTAGGGCCATTTGTTTTTTTATTTTTTTCGATACTATCTTGAAATTTCAAGATACTATCTTGAAATTTCAAGATACTGAGTTGAAATTTCAAGATACTAAGTTGAAATTTCAAGATACTATCTTGAAATTTCAAGATACTAAGTTGAAATTTCAAGATACTAAGTTGAAATTTCAAGATAATGAGCAACCTCGGAATACATTTATATAGTGTACATGTTTTGATAGTTCATTGCACCTCTGGTGATGGCAAGCTGTAGTGGTGGCAAAATGGAACCTGATCGTGTTCAACTTATTACTACATACTTCTCCCTTGGATTGACAAACAATGAGATTCTGTGTTTCCTCGCCCATGACCACGGGATGATAATAAGCAACAGAACTCTGAAACGATTGCTGTCCAAGTGTAGGTTGTTTCGGAGGAAAGAATGCACAGACATTCTGCAAGAAGCTTTGTATATGTTACACGAGTGTGACTCTTCTGGTCGACAACACGGCTATCGTTGGATGCATCGAAAGTGTCAGGAAAAGGGATATGTTGTTGATAAAGAGACTGTTCGGTGTTTACTTTATATAGTAGATCCTGATGGAGTCAACTGTCGCAAAAAGCATGCATTATTACGTCGAACCTATATCTGTTCAGGACCAAATTCTGTATGGCACATGGATGGTTACGATAAATTGAAACCCTATGGCATTTGTATACACGGATGCATAGATGGCTTTTCAAGATATGTAATTTGGCTTGAAGCTTGGGTGACAAATAATGACCCTAAGGTAATCGCTGGGTACTACACTGAAGCTGTGAGAAGACTAAACGGTTCGATCTGATCTGGGGACAGAAAACACATCAGTAGAACACATGCATCGTTTACTACGAAGCCAACATACTGACAGGTTCTCAGGTCACAAGAGTTTCTTGTGTGGATCCAGTCATACAAATCAACGGATAGAGTCGTGGTTGTGTATTCTCAGGAAGCAATGGGCACAGTACTGGATGGACCCCTTCAAACAGCTTAAGGAGGATGGCTATTTTTCAGGAGATTTCATAGACAAGAATCTTGTTCAATTCTGCTTTCTGCGTTATATACAGGTTTGTAGATGTATTTTGTGTTTGAAGTATCTTGAAAATATCAATGATGGCGTTATTTATAATATCTAATTAATATTTTTTGACATAATTATATATGTCACACACAATTCATTATGCCATGTTTAATGTAACGTAAAATAAATACTCTCCAAATAGTACGTTCATGTAATGTATGGGAAATTCAGTGTCAAATTTATTGTATTTATCAATATGTTAAGTATATGTAAATTCAGTGTTACAATTGTCTATTTCAGGATGAACTCAGAAGTGTCGCACACACATGGAATTTTCATCACATGAGAGCCAACAAGAAAAACCAAGGTCAACATGGTAAACCAGCAGTGTTGTATTCACTACCCACATTGTATGATAAGGCAGACCACGTGCAGACTGTCGACCCAGATGTCCTGCAACTGTGTGAGGAAGAGGCCTCTACACGAGACATGCAAATGACATGCGACCCAACAGTGTTTGAGTTGTGTGTTTTGATCATGGAAGAAAAGCAATTGCTGACTGACTGATTTAAATAAACTGTATTTGGGTCTCAGGAGAGAAATAAGACAGGAACTTTTTGAGTATTAACTTTTGAGGGAACGTGAAGGAGCAGGAATGGATGATCATGATAACGGGGCGATTTTCATGAGCTGTGAAAGACGACTCAGCTTAATATTGCTAACAAATGTTTAATATGGTATATATAGATATGATGAATGTGTATTTTCTGTTCTTTTAATCTGGATAAATTTTATTTGTACCCTTTGTCGATGTTAATGTTATTGAACTGCGATTGCAATTGTAACTGGTTAAATACTCCGAGTGAAGATAAAAATATCCTTATATTGTTTTGTTTTTATGAAACCCCAACCTTGACCAAACCAGACACAAAATCTGGCTTCAAATTCACAAAATAGGGAGGTGTACTGGTACATAAACCCTCTAACAAATCCCGGGGCACGGGTGACCCAGTTGTCTAAGGCGCTGCAATTCGTTGTGCAATGTTGCGTCCCTTGGACACACCAGAAACCTATGATTGTGGGTTCGAATTCCGGTTGGCCCCCATTATGTTTGTAGGATTGTCAGCACCATACCCGTGCTCGTGGGTTTCACCAAAGTGGTAAACGTCTAAGACCTGCATCGGGCTTTCCTCCCACATTAAGCTGACCTGCCGTTATATAACTGGAATACTGTTAAAAGCGGCTTTCAATTAGTGGCACTACCGTACACAGCCGGTTGAGGGAGCACACCATCCAGCCCTGACGTCAAGCGATACGCCCAATTTTGCTTCCACGTCACCGCCAGGCACACGATTGTAGACCGCATCTCAGGTTCAGAAGACAAGACTGAGACAGTATACAGTTTCATCTGAACAGCTCTGATGGCGTGCAAGGGTCATCAGACGTCCAGAACACTTTAGCGACACTTGCGTTACTCAATGTCAGTATGGGGGTGGAAGTGTAATGGCATAACAACTCATGGGAGAAAACAACTCATCATTGTTTATGGCAATGTGAATGGCGTACGTTACCAGGGCGACATCGTTCTTTCCTTTGTGCAAACGATGGGACTAACGTTACGTTGCAGCAGGATAATACCCGCCCATGCATTGCATGTGTTGTAACAGACATTTTGAGGCAGCATTACATTGCTGTACTGCCATGGCCGGCTGTGTCTCCAGACTTCTCCCCCATAGAACATGTCTGTTATGAGATGGGAGTACGCCTACGACAGGACCCGAACCAACCAGTTAAGCTAATGTTTGGTTGACAACCCTCAGGCTGTTTTCAATCGCCTGGTACTTCAATGCGTCGCCACTGCCTCGCCTGCATCAACTGAAATGGTGCTCACAACAGAGTTGATAAAACACTGATCAGACGAATGACAAAATATTATGTTATTTTCAATAACATAACATTTGCTCTACTTTTCATGAAGCACAGTTACTTTTTCCCGTTAGTATACATGAATTCCTCAGTTCAAAATGTTCACAGCAATACCTGATACCATGTGATGACTATAAATATATATCAAACCATAATAATATATCAAAAGACAACTCAAGAACTAATTAAACATAACAATAGTATTTGTATTGGTCATTGTTTATTGTAATTTCACATTGCACTGATATCAAAATAATGAGATCTAACAATGCAAAAGGCAGCAATATTTGGCAGGTCACAATATTGGCTATCACTAAATTGCTACTTTACTGCATTTCTCTTGCAATAATTGCTCTACATTAAAACAGAAAATCCCCTTGGATTGTAATTATGATAAAAGTTTCATAAAATGACACATACAATGAATACAAGATTTTCTTGTTCCACCAACTATAACTCAAACTGACAAATCAGTAAAACGTCATAGCAAACATATCATGAAAGGAGGATACTTAGGTAACTATTGTACAACAAATTATATTGTAAACAA